GTTAGCGCAGCAGCAGCAGCAGGGAGCAGCGGCAGCGGCGGCTTCGTAGCACGGCGGCCATAGCCGCCTGAGGTACAAGAGGCGAGGTTCTCCTCCTCCCTCCTCGTCGCCAGCCCCCCTCTCTCACTCCCTCCTCCTCTGCCATCTCATCTCTTCTTCTTCTTCTTCAGACTTCTTCTTCTTCTTCAGACTTCTTCTTCTTCTTCTTCAGACTGCTTCTTCTTCTTCTTCAGATTGGAGACTTCATACTAGTTGGACAGAGATCAGTGTTGGACTTCGGTGGTAAGAGGCTGTGGTACTTACCGGATTCGAGACTTGGAGATTGTTGGGGTTGATACTCAGCGGCATCACCGTTCGGACACCGTATACATTAGGACTCTGTATCTCCGACATTGGTGACTTATTGTCCTCGACATTTTGATCTTGTTGGATGACATTTTTGGATTACCATATCGGTGACCTATCGGATTCTATCTCGGTGACCTCCGGTGCTGTCTACCTCCCCCACCTCCTTCGTCTCTCCTCCTACCTTTCATCTGTGTATGTGTGTACTGGGCCTGAGCATCTTCCATGTATGGCTCAGACCCCATCATCTCACGATTGTTTGTGTGTGGAGTGATATTCGTGTGAGTCAGTCTATGTGAGTCAGTCCGTTATCAGACTTCCGTTGCATACATACTCATCCTATATTGGTTGATCTTTGGTTCTGCCCCATACTTGTTGATTCATTCACGATTATGTAACATGGGGCCTTCCTGCTGCAGCGCCCACCAAGGTGATGAAGATGACTGCCACCATAGCCAGGTAAGTACCTCTGGCGCTTCTCCCCCTTCCTGTCCTTCTTCCTCCTCCAAGTCCTTGCTTCTTCCCCAGCAGCGCTGCTCCAAGCTAGCGCTCCAGCCAGCGCTCCAAACAGTGTGTCGCCAAACTTGCACACCGACAATGAGGCTGGGCTCTTCGACCGGCCTGGAGATATAGCGGATTGCTTGCCTCTTGGGCAGTGACTTCCAGGCCGCTCGGCCTTCCCAAGCAACCGGTACCTCCTCCCTTTCGGAGGGAAACATCATTGCAGACTCATTATTGCCCGTGCAGGCCCTAGACTCAGACTGGTCGGACTGGTACCCGCCTATTCCTAGCCTACAACTACTGGGCCTCTTCAAAATGCCACTTTTGTCTTCTTCTGCTCGGCCTCCAGTACCCGCACATCTACCTCTTCAGGGTGCGGTACCGGCCTACCTGCTACTTGAGTGTTTTCCCCCGCTGCAATCCCTCAATGTCACGGCCACAGGTAAGTACTGGCCCTGAGGGCCCAACGAACGAACAAGTGCCCTTGCGGGCCACACACACACTCAAGCCAACCAGCACTCAGACAGACATGCAGTCCAGCAAGCGTGCATACACAGACTTAGAGAACTTAGTAGCAAGCGGGAAACTCAGCAAGGCATTCAGTCTATGAGCAAACTCAGAAATCAGCTGTGTGTTTCAGTCCATGTTTGGTTGGGACATCACATTGTCATTGCCTACTGCATCATCTTCTTCTCTTCTCCTTCGCATCATCTTCTTCTCTCCTCCTCCTTCGCATCATCTTCTTCTCTCCTCCTTCATGATCTTGTCTTCGGAGTGCATGTGCTTAAAGATAGAAAGGTAGGCATTGAGAGCCGGGTTCACTGCAACGCTGTGCTATTATGCATGTAACAAAGTTTGAAACGATGAGGACCTTACAGTGCTGGGAGCGCGGATGATGGAACTGGATGCATTGAATTTGAGGCAAGGGTGTTGCCGAGGGCTTCCGTCCCTCTTGGATTGTAAGGACATCTCCCTGTGGAATCAGAGAACTTTCTGCTGATGTCGGTACTTCTGTCTGGTCGTTCTTTGCGCAGATGCTAGTGTTAGCACATCTTTGTGCTGAGGATGAGCCAAGGAGGCGACCCTCCATTGTGAAGGTGGTGAATATCCTTGATGAAATTCTTACCTTGTCAAAGCAAGCAACTTATCGCAGATCGCTACCGTCACCTGTGAATTCCAGTATGTTCATGACATTGCCTGTCGCCCGATAGCACTCTTAGCCTGTATGTCCATCTACTCAGTGTTTGTCTTTCATATCTGCTCATTCGTTACGTCTTTGGATTCATTGGAAAAGGAGGGTTTCCAGAGTCATGTAAGGACATGCAAGCATCAGCTTCGTGTTTGTACTACTGCAAGCCATGTTATTGGTCTGTGGATTGATCGCTAGTTTGTCAGGTAGTTGGTCAGCCAGTTGCTTGGTTGGTTGGATGGTTGGATGGTTGGTTGGTTGGTTGGTTGGTTAGTTGGTTTGGTTGGTTGGTTAGTTGGTGTGTTGGTTAGGTTGGTTAGGTTTGTCACCTTGGTCCATATGTTCATTCCTTGGGCCATCACTTGGTTGGTTGGTTGGTTGGTTGTATGGTTGTATGGTTGGTTAGTTGGTTAGTTGGTTAGTTGGTTAGTTGGTTTGGTTGGTTGGTTAGGTTGGTTACCTTGGTTACCTTGGTTACCTTTGTTCGCTTGTTCATTCCTTGGGCCATCATTTGGTCGGATGGTGGGATGGTTGGACGGTTGGATGGTTGGTTAGTTGGTTAGTTGGTTAGTTGGTTTGGTTGGTTGGTTAGGTTGGTTACCTTGAGTTACCTTGGTTCATTCCTTGGGCCATCAGTTGTTTTTTGCCTGTTTGTCTATGTTTTTTGTTCTGTTCCATTTGTTTGTCTCTTCTTGAACTCTGTTGTTTGTTTGGTATTCATTCGGGCGCTTGTTTCCCTACTTGCTTGTTTGCTTGGTGGGCAATTCATTCGTGCATTTGGTTGTTCCGGTTGGTTGGTTAGTTCATTCATTTTTTGGTGGTTCGTTTGTTCATTAGCTGCCATCATTTGAGTATTTTTTTTTGTAACAAAGCACAGTGTGGGAGGGAAAAGCTCTTTTGTCTCTTGTTTCTGCAATACCTACCTATGTTGTAAATATAGAGGGCCTCTCTACTAGGTGTCTGTATGCCCGCCTGTCCATCTGTCTGTCTGCCTGCCTGCCTCCCTGCCTGCCTGTCTGTCTGTCTGTCTCTGTCTGTCTGTCTGTCTCTGTCTCTGTCTCTGTCTCCGTCTCCGTCTCCGTCTCTGCCTCTGTCTTTGTCCCTGTCTTGTTTCTGTTTGTCTATCTCTGCCTATGTGTCGTACTGTCTGTCAGTCCGCGTGTAGCACTCCCAATGTCTGTCGGTCAGTCAGTCCGCGTGTAGCACTACCAGTGTAATACTGGCAGACGCAGAGGTGGGTTAGTGGTTACGAAGAAGCAGTGGTTATGTGCATTTTCGTGCACGAGTTTACTTTCTCTGTTGTCTTTCAGGCTATCAAAGTTCCTTCTTATTGGGTGCAACAAGGTTGATTACAGTGCTGTTTGCTCAGCATAGCTTGTCAGGTCTAGGTTTTTCAAAGTGATTCTCTAGCTTTTCGGAAGTGCTTTTTTCGTTTTTCTTCTTTACCTCCAGAATTAGTTGATGGCTTCTTAACAAATGATGAAGCAAGGCCACATTGTACCACAGCTGTGTTAGAGGTGTAAGAAACTACTCCATGCAAGACTGAGAGGGAAGAAGGAAAGAGTTATCGTGCACCCTCTGGGAAGAATCTGGGAGGGAGGTAAGGAGTATATGAAGCTGGGTGGGAGGGAGGGTTTTAGTCCATGCGAGCAGAGCTGTGTAGAGGGAGTAGGCAAGTGGGAGTCGTAGAAACGAAGCATTCTTATTCCTGATGTGGAAACAATGGGAGGTAAGCAGGGTGCAGAGTCCCTAGATTGTATTCTACAGAAGATGAAAGAGTCACAGTAAGGCAGCAAGACACTGTTGCCGCTTCAAAGTTCCTGGCGAGGGAGGTGTATTCGTGCCTATGGGCCTATGGCAAGGACCAACTTAATCCAGCGGGTTTACTCTAGGCACAAAGGCCAACTTAATCCAGTGGGTTTACGGAACCCCTGTGGTAGGCCTGTGATGATCTACCTGAATGACTGCTCATATGCAGATACAGGTCACTCATTGGTCATGCATCTGAACAGTGCAGTCAGGGCTGCCTGGGATTTCCCACCCTAACCAGACTGGTCCGACCTACCTGGACTGGCCCACTCATCCAGTTTTCTCGCTGCGAACTGATGGCGACAAGCAGATGTGGAATTATGCCCTTCGCATCAGTGTGCGTATCAAGTAGCTCTTTCCAAAGAATTATGACGTCCCAATGGACCACATCAGGATAGGTTTGCTCGTAGATGTGCAAAGAGGTGCAGCAGGTAGCTCTGCCCAGAAAACTATGGAGTCCAAATGGCTGACATCAGGACAAGTGGCTGATTGACGTGAAATGAGGTGCAGCTTCCTTTCTGGGTCCCACGAGCTCTTGGAAGGAAACGCCTGAGTAGGGAGGTGAAGAACAGGGGTATCCGACACCAAGCGCATCCAGTGTGCTTGTTAAGAATGGCGAAGCTGATCCTCAGACAAGAACCAGTCCCTATTCAATTCTGCCCGAGTGTTCAAGAGTCTTTGTTGTCGACAACATCCCTGCAGAATGCTTGCCACTGGTGTGAGGAGGTGGATTGAAAGTAAGTTCACCGTTTGTGGTCAGCTGAGGTGTTCTCTCTCTTTGACAGTCGTAAATGCATGAGAAGACTGGACTGCAGTCGTTGTGGAACTGTATATCTCTATAGCGGGCATTATACCCTTTTTTTGTGATTGCCTGTGGTTGAAATGTGGAAGAACCAGCATATGTGTACACCAGCAGCTAGGTAGGTACCAGATAATAGGGCCGAAGAACTGGAAAGTAGGTAGCTGTGTGATCCACAAAAGAGATGCTAGCATGAATCTCTGGTAGTAACTGTAGTTTTGCTGATGCTAATGATCAGCATGGCAAAGAGGCATGCGGTGGTAGTCTTGCTTTTTTCTTGTTGTCCCCGTACATATCCCTGCTTGGTATGTTTTCCAGGTTTTGTCTTTTTTTGACTGCTTTCTCTGTATGCTCAAGGCATCGCACTTCCAGGCCTATGTTTCAAAGCATCATGATCCAGATTTAACCGAGTAACTTCACCACATCCTTATCCTGCTGTGGATTATGGTGCCCAAAGTTGGCTAAGAGGGGGCTTGTTGGATTACTTCCCCTGCACCTCCTACTCCTCTTCTTCTTCATCGTCCTTCTTCTTCTCCTCCTACTACTCCTGCTCCTCCCTGCTGCCTCCTCCTCCTTTCTTCTTCTCCTAGCCCCTTGACAAGTCCTGGAGTGCAGCCAGACGAAACGCCTCCCGGAATGTGTGTGAGCTTGTTTATGTCTAAGCAGGTGGAATGAAGATTAACGACTGTATGCTTGGACAAATAACGATTGGCCTCGCTATTCACTATTCCTCCTCCTCCTCCTCCTCCTCCTCCTTCTTCGTCTTCTTCTTCGTCTTCATCTTCGTCTTCTTCTTCTTCTTCTTCGTCTTCTTCTTCGTCTTCTTCTTCGTCTTCTTCGTCTTCTTCGTCTTCGTCCTCCGTCTTTTTCCTTTTTTTGTTTTGCTTTGTCTTCTTCATTCTTTTGCCTCCTTCTCGCTTCTCATTTCTCCTTCTTCTTCTCCTTCTCTTCTCCTTCTTTCTCCTCCTCCTTCCTCCTCCTTCTTCCTCCTTCCCAGAGATCGCAAACTCCTACTTCTCCCACACTCACACCCAACCCATATCAAACCTGGATCCGCAGCCAGCCATAACTCTGGTTTAAGAATCCCCACAACCTGACCTGGCCGCAGTTGGGTCCAATTTTAGCATACAAACCCAGCCCCGGCCTGGCCGAGGCCTTGGAGAAGAATTGCCCCTGGACCTTCCCAGGCCAAGACTTATGTTTCACTGCCTGCCCCTGCTCAGACCCCCAAGCATAATCTCACCTGCACTCATCCGTAACTGGCATTCTTTCAAACCTGCCCGCACCTGCCCTTGCTTTTCCAAGTTCCCGCCCCTGTACCCAGCGTACGTTTGTTATAAGCTGCATTTGGGGCAACTTTCTGTCTACGTACGGCGATGCTGACCATGCATTCAGATTGGGGGCAGATGGTAATGGTTGGTAGAGGAAATTTGAAAAGGAAAAGAAAAAAGTTTATCATCGTCTGACATCTGTCTATACTCCGACATCGTCCGATTTCAGATGGAGAAGAAGACAAAGGAGAAGAGGAGGAGGGGGAACAAGATAAATATGATGTTGAATGTAGAAACAAAGGTGAATAGAGGAAACCTAACACAAACGGGAGGGAGGATTTCAGGATGACATGGACAAAAATGGGCAGAAGAGGAGGAGGTGGCGGAGGTTGGCAGAGTGAATGGGCCTACCTTGTCATCCGCCTTGCTGCATTGAGCAGCCAAACTGCGCAAGCTGTGCAGTGCAAACTGCAGTGTCGACCAATGTTGAGATCTGCCCGTCGAGCAGCGCAGCTTTGGCACACACCAGGCACTGGGAGGCTGTAGGAGCCAAAACTGCGTTGTTCAAACATTTTCCCCAACAGTGCAGTTTGGTGGTGTTAGCCTGCAATGGTGCTTCTGTCAGGCCTGAAAGATCAGCGGCCAGGGAGGCAGGAATGAAAACAAGGGGGCCTGGTATGTGTAGAGTCTGTGGACCCCTACATACAGACATACATACCCAAACTTGGTGTGGACCCGTGCACACCTGCCTATTTTGCTTTTCCTTTATAGAAAGCCACCCACAACTGGCCTTTTTTCTTTTCCACTGGAACTGGCCCCAACTCAGTCCAGGGCCATCCTCCCTTCACCTGGCCACACCCGCCCACGTGGAACATGGAGGTAGCCAAACCTGCCTGCCTCTGTCCAATCCGGCTGGGGCCAGTTTGAGCTGGGGCACGGCCAGCCGTTTGCAGGCTCTGCTTCTTCCTACTTCTTACTCCTTCCGCTCGTTGTTCTTCTTCCTATTTCTCTTTCTCTTCCTCTTCCACTTCTGTCTTCCAGGTGAGGATGGATTTTGTATGTTGTGGGTGAGGGAAAGAGCTCTTGAGACTGAGAGGTGTATGAAACTATCCCTCTCTCTTCTTCTCTCTCCCCCCCCCCCCCCCCCCCCCCAAAAAAAAACTCTCTCACTGTGTGTATGTGTGTGTGTGTGGTAGATGTGTGCGAATCACATTTTCATTTGAACCCAGGATGGTACTGAACCATGCAACATACCATTTCAACACCTCAGGAGGAAAATACGCATCTGAGGGCATACTCACACTAGGCCCTCAAAATTCCAAAATCGCAAAATGAGTGGCCCAATTGAGGTCTTGTAAACGACGGACTCGATCTGGGCTCATTTTGCGATTTTGTGATTTACACCCTGAGTGAATCAAGTCACCCTCCAAGTAATACAACCAGCCAGCGGAAAATCAGCAAGGCAGGCAGAACACTTGCTGTGCAACAAGCAGGGAGGCAGCGCCTTGAGCGGCAAGTGGGAGCAAAGCACTAAGGCTGGAGGGCACGGGAAAGGCGGGTGGGCAGACAAGCAGCACGGAGCAAGGCAAACAGCACAAGGCAGCAGAGCACATAGGCTGGAGCCTGGAGGGCACAGGGGAGGCGAGCGGACAGGCAAACAGCAGAAGGCAGCAAAGCACATAGTGTGGAAGGCAAAGGCATGAGGGGTGGGCAGGCCAAGGCAGTGAGGGAAATGACTGCGAGACAAACAACAGCAAAGTAAAAGCAGCAACCAAAGGAAATATATGTACGACAACAAGACAACGACTGGATAAAAAAAAAAAAAAAAAAAGCTGATGAAGATTGTTTCATCGGAGTTGCACCGACCCATGAGGAGGCAGAACACTTTACAATCTCCAGAATCCCCATATTGATGCTTTGGGTCATGCACCCTTTGACCCTTGTTGAAAGCGAATGGACTGCTTGAGCAAGCAGCAAAGCAATGATGCAGTGAGGCACAAGGCAGCACTGATGGAGCAGCCAAACTACGAGGCAAACAGGTACACAGAGAGGGAAGACAAGGCACGGTATGCGTATAGGCAGCTAGGGAACAGTGCAGCAAAGCACAAGGCAATGCAAACGAAGCGTGCAAACTACACAACAGACAAGCACATTGCACGGAAAGACCGCACAGCACACAAGCTAAGTACGCGGAAAGGCAAGGCGTGCAAATGTGCAGAAAGACAACTGCTCAGCGGAGCACAAGGCAATACCAACACAGCAGCCAAACTAGCCGCAAGCACACCAGCTGCAAGGAATGGTATGCGAAGCATGATGGGCAGTGTCCATTGTGATCTGTAGTCACACAAACAATTTATTGTCATCTCCTCGATATCCCTATCTGAGAAACGGATAGGTTTTGTTGAACATGAATCGTGGATAACAAAGGTCTTATTAATGCATGTGGAAAGTGGGAATCAACAACAGCATTCCCCCGCTCAGTGTCACCATCACTGTTGTTTGTCGCAGATGGTAACTTTGGGATTAGATGCAATCATTGCCACCGTCTTCCCCCAAAGAAAATCCGTCCCGATCAGGACTATCTACAAGTTATCTTTCTGCTCTAATGCAGTCCTGATGAAGTTGTGTTATGTTTGGGAGAAGAAGGTAATTTAATTACTGCAAGGAATGATGGGAACTTTTTGGTCTTGCAAGAGAAACGTATGCCAGCACGCCCACACATGGACACACACACACACACACACACACACACACACACACACACACACACACACACACACACATGCTGGTACCGGGTGGACGGTCTACCCACGTTTAAGCGGTATAACCAGTCATTCTGGAGGAGCTGTGGATTTAGCTATTTTTAGTCTTCATTTATTGAGTGTTTCCTCAATATTAGGTGCTATCAATTTCATTACGATTATTTTTAACATGCGTGGCCCAGGAATGACCATGCATAGATTACCTCTATTTGTTTGGTCTGTGCTAATTACAACTTTTCTGCTTTTATCGTCACTTCCAGTATTAGCAGGTGCTATTACTATGCTATGAACTGATAGAAATTTTAATACCACTTTTTTTGATCCTGCAGGAGGAGGAGATCGTGTTGTATTTCAACATCTGCTTTGGTTCTTTGGTCGGGATGGCCACCTTAGAGAGTGATCTCTAAAGAAAAGCGTTGCCGTTTGCTGGAACAACTACACGCTTATTCGTACTTGGTTTTTAAGTGCTTGCGCCGAACCAGTGAAAATTGTATAAGCAATGTTCGATCAACAGGAAACCACAAAAAAGTACGCCGCCCGCCCTAGCCAACAACCGCCGAGCTGTTTGGGATCCTCAGAGACTTTACGCAACGAATCTCACTTGTTTCGTTAATGAGACGGAAAGAAAGAAAGAAAGAAAGAAAGCGGCAAGCCACTCACTTTGCGTTTACTTTCAATTCTAATTTGTTGGATTGATCGATGTTGAGGCTTTCTTTTACGTATGTATTGTATGCTCAGTCTTGTGAAGTTCAAACTCTTAAAGTGGGTAGAACGCAAAGTAAGATAAGCGAATGATTACATAATCGAGCAAAGAAGGAAAGAAAACTTATGCTCCGCGAGGTTTCAGTAAGCTAGAGCAATCAATGAATTCAATCCCACCGGGCCATCGTCAATTTTMAATTCCCATTAGCTAAGGGTTCAATCTAGATAAGAGTTGGGATGGTTGGATTTGGCCGGCGGCGTATTATCTTGTTTACTTACTTACTCTTTAGACTCAATTATATCTGGAGAGAGAAAGAAGAAATTCCATCTCTCATTTCTCAATCACAAGAGATGAAGATAAAGTCCAAAAAGCATCATGAGGTTTGAATGTGAGCCTCGTAATCTCGCTATGTGTTGGAACATCTCGGAAGGCACGAAGAACGAAGTCCTTCTTCGCTTAGATTTCTAAGCGAATGATATACATTGGGACAAGTAGGTTATCAGCAAGAAACCACAAAAAAGTACGGTCGCTCGCCCTAGCCAGCAACCGCCGAGCTGTTTGGGATCCTTACGCGAGAATTCTCTCAATCAAACAAAAGAGCGCTCTTGCGCCTTCCGCCTTCCATACTTAGGGGGCGATTTAGGTATTATTTGGAAGTCTTTAATTTAATTTAAATTCAATAGATTTCGCGACTGTATTTATTGAATTGATTGTAATTGTATATATAATTGTTTTTTTAGAGGGAATAACGCGACGGTGTGCTCTACCAGGCTCCGCTTCCGTCGGTGAGCCAAAATAATGTTATATTTTAATTCTTCCTGGATTTGGTATTATCAATCATGTGGTTTTTTCTTCTTCCACAAAGCCTGTGTTTGGCTATGTGGGCATGGTTTATGGTGCGCCGTGTAAGGCGTATTTCGTCGATATCGGACGCCGACCGAAGGCAGGCACGAAGTGCAGCAAGACATGTTGGATACGAAAGCAAAACGCAAAGAAGTGGGCGTCCGTTCTCCTTCCTGTATTTATTATGGAATAAATCAACGAAGGGTAGCGTTGTCGAAATGCGCGTGGAAAAGCACTTGGTCAAACCGAGCAACAGGAGGCTCACACCTCCGAGGCCGGCTCGGGAGATAAAAGTCGGAACGAATGAGGATAACGAACTCGATTATGTAGTGGATGAATGACATGATTCTCTTAGTCAGCGAGTAATGGCATGGACTCTTAGGATTGGTTCTGGTGGTGCATATAACATCATAGCGATACAGGCAATCCCTAACGCACCTTCGGCCTCAGTAAGGCACGAAGAATACACTACACGAGCATTCACCACCAACAAGGGCGCCTTTGGCGTCGGCGAGTATGCAATCACGGGATCGGCCTCCCTCGATAATGGTAATGAGAAGGTCGACAGCGCCGCCGTAGTAAGGGAACTTAAGGGCGGCAGTCACGAATCGATGGCAGAGGGCGCGGCCTCTCCACAACTGGATTTTTGGAAATGTCGGCCGAAGCTTGAAACTTAGCTGAGAGAACGATATGTTCATGGTAAATTTTGCAACCTTATCGAGGTTGTTTCGGACGTATCCTTCCTAATATACTGCTATGAATTCATCTGTGGTGATCCTGGTAATATGACTCTGTGAGCGACACCCACGATCAATTGGTTCTCAAAATTGAGTCAGCAATTACAAGCTGGTAAATTTGAGCCACAAGCGTGGCCTTATCTTATCGTACAAAAAACCCTCACCGTGGTGCTGGACAACATGTACAATCCGGAATTTTTGGTCTGCTCTCACGCGAAGCGTGCAATACTTCAGGTAGACCGAATATTCAAGAGTGCGACTTGGGTTATAGAAGGTGACATTACCACAGCCTGGCGGCTGCCTCACAAGGTTATTCTATGAATTCTTTCAGAAGAAATTGCTTGTAGAAAATTTATGAGCTTAGTCTGAAAATCCCTAAGTGTTGGATATGCTCTTACGTTCTTGCGAACGCCTCTACTATGTAACATAACGTTACATCAATTGGACAAATACAACTCTAACCAACTGAGTTATAGGCCCATGCTTGGAAAGACTTGAACTCTCAACCCCCAAATCCGTAGTTTGGTGCTCTATCCAATTGAGCTAAAAGCACATTCATTCGTCTCTTTCGTCTAGGGGTATAGGACATTGTTTTTTCATGGCGAAGACGCGGCTTCAAATCCCGTAAGGGATATATATGATATGACATCTATCATATCAAAGGGCTAGGTCATGCGGGTCACACTACCGAAGCCTGTCAGTTGCATTAATTTAAATAATAAAAAACAAAATCACACATATGCCTACAATGAATCAATTAATTTGTCATGGTAGAGAATCAAAACGACGTACGCAACGTATTCGAGATTTAAATCAATGTCCTCAAAAGCAGGGAGTATGCTTTCATGTTTCTACAAGAACACAAAAAAAAACCAACTCAACTTTACGCAAAATAGCAAAGTGAGATTAACCAATCGAAATGAGGTTATTGCATACATTCCGGGAGAAGGCCATAATTTACAAGAGCACTCTATTGTTATGGTTTCGAGGAGGTAGAGTCAAAGATTTGCCTGATGTAAAATACCATGTATTCGAGGAGTGAAAGACTTACAAGGAATTTCTAATCGACGTCGAGGCAGATCAAAATATGGTACCAAATAAACCGAAATTAAAATATGAACCGAAAAATCTTACAAGTCTTGCTCTTCGAGCCTTTGATTTTAGAGAATTGCAAGGTAYAACAATTGATACACAAATTTGTCAACATTTGTATGATTCATGGAAAAAAAACAAAATCTCGTGCAATTGTTTATAAAACTTTCTATTGTCTAGCTAATGAGAACTTGTCTATGAATGTAATCACGCATTTTGTTAACACGATTGAAAATGTCAAACCTATTTTAGAAGTAAGAAAAGTCAGAATCTCCGGAACCACCCAATTAGTCTCATCCATCATACCAAAGTGTCGTCAAGAAACCTTAGCTCTTCGGTGGATTCTTGAAGGCGCTTTGTGGAGACGATGTTTGACAAAAAAAAGCATAAGTTTAAATTAATTTTTATCTGCTGAAATACAAGATGCTTCGAAAAAATAAGGATTTGTTAAAAAAAAAAAAGATGATCTTCACAAATTAGTTGAATCAAATCGTAGTGTTTTTCATTATCGTTGGTGGTAAGAATGTACATATAGAAATCACCACCAACCAAGCCCGAGTACCCGCAGTCTTTATGACATTTAGTTAGTTGCGCGTATGTATTTTATTACTACAAAGTTTCGTCTCCACTCGAAATTTACAGACACAGACTTAGTGCCATTTGATGAGTAACCAAAAATAAAGGAGAAGTATATAAGAAAAAAAAAAGTGATAAAAAAGATAGTAATAGCAAGCAATAAAGATTTTTCACGATCCATTGGTTTATAGAAAATCCATGTTTTAGGTGTTTCAAAATCCATGACTTTCACAAAACGTATATAATAAAAGCAACTAATAGCACTGGTTACTACTCCTATTAAGACTAATAACTAAGCTCCGCAACCTAGAGCAGCAAAATAGAGATAAAATTTGTTGCAAAATCCTGGTAATTGAAGTATTCCTGCCAATAAGAACATAGTAATAGACATTGTAACAGCTAAAATAGGATTCGTCAACGCTAACGCGGCTAAATTCACTATATATTTTAAACAATTTTGGTGTAAGGCTAAAACTATTCCAAATACATTGATGGTAATTATTACATAAATGAAAACACCTATTAGTAAAGACTGTATGCCTTCGATAGGTTTCATATGAAAAACCAATTAAAAGGTAACCTACATGGCCAATAGAACTATAAGCTAAAAGTTTTTTGACTTTGTTTTGAGCCATTGCGGCTAATGCTCCTAATATTATGGAAGCAATAATGCAAAAAAAAAAGATTGTTTGATATGTTGGATCATAAAAACTAAAAAAAAACACAC